ATCTCTAGAAACATTTAATTTGTAGCATTCAGTTTTGATATATACAAGAATGAAAAGTCCTCTTTTGATGTTTCCCTCCACTGTCGATAGTTCAAAAAATGCTTTTGATGTCTTAGCCGTATGACAGCTTTTTTTTTAATAAGCTTTATTTTTGCAACATTATGACATTGATCTCGCCAAATAATTCTCCAGAGGTCGCTCTTGTCACTTTGTGATTATTGGGGTTCCAAAATATTATCTCAATACATTTACTGCTCATCCACTCCCTTTTACTTACCTTCTTGTCTTACCCTTCTGCTAAGTTTATATGTTGAGGCTCGTTTGTCATTGCCAGTTCACGTTGTGTGAGCTCATAGTTGAGTGTCTATATTGTTGCTGATAGGGACACTCTACTTCTACTGGAATCAGCCTTTTTTTTGTTTTAAAGCAGTACTTGTTCAAATGAATATTACCCTCTGTGACGGATTTACTATTACATATACATGAATTTACATAACTTCTGTCCAGGGGACCGGTACTCTAGATAGTAATTATATTAAAATATAACAAAAACGATAACGATTAAACTTAACTGTATTGACGCATTGCTTAACAACACTGTTATTACATGAAGTTAATTTAAATTTTATAAAAATAGAAGAATTTTAAAATTTAAATTCGAAAATTCGAAATTATCTAAATTAATTTTTAAATTACTTCTTTAACTTTCAAAATAAATATTTTAAAAATAAGAACTGAAACACTGAGATAAAAAATAAGTTGATACATGCTGTGGGCTTTGCTTCTCATTAAGATTTTGCGCATGCGCACAGTAAAGGTTTTGTATCAGATTCTAGATGCTAGTCCTCAAACACCGCCACCCAGCCACATATTACAAATCATTTCCCTTGCATGCTTATGCCTACTATTTCAAAGTTTAGGCCTTAACTAATTACTGAAATACTTTAGGCGTTCGAATAACATGTGGTATTACCGTCACAATACACTATGCATTAGTAATCACCAAAACATATAATTTCAGTGAAAAAAATAACTAATTCGTGAATGACAACCTAAAGTAATTATGAGAAAAGGACTATACATCAAAATCTACAAACTGTTTACATTCCACCACAGTATAAGGCCTAATGTATTTGTTTGCTTAGCTCTCCCAAACAATGCTGATGAGCCGTGAATTCGGCGAAACTAGTCTTCTGCAAGGAAAGTAGCGAATCAAATAATAAATTTGGCTTTTACGTCATTCACGAATTCTTTCTTTTATTCTCGAAAATTACACGTTTTAGAAGAAAGGGGAAATTCACAAATAAATTAGCAGCTAGTCTGTTGAATAAGAATGAATATTGAATTATTAACTGTTACAGTAACATGATATGTTAGACATAGGGCAGAAGGGGCACGTGTCCCTCACTTTTTTCGAGTTAGAGTACATACAATATTACCAACTATGTTAAATGAATTAGCTTCCTTTTTTTCCCACACAAAATGTATTTCTGTCGTATACATGGAATTCAGAAAAACCAGTTTTTTTTTCCTTCTTCATTAAAATCACAAAGGCAAAATGAAATCTGAGTTGTTATATAACATTTATATTTCATCACAAAAATATATAGAAGTAAAAGTGGGTCCACACCGCTAAGGATTTTTTTGATTCACCACAATGGCTAATCAGATTCAGGACCATATTCAACACTAGTTGGAGTACCCGTCCACTGGACGGAAATTATGTAAATTCATGATTAATGAAAGGTTATCTTAGGACATGAAAAGTTGTTTCCCTTATATGTAATTGTAAAAATCGACCATAAAATCTACAAAATACAAAATGTGAAACCGTAAGTTTCCATGCATCTCTGCATAGACCAAGCAAACCTTCATGACAAACTTGATGAAGATTCATCAACAGGGGGCGAAGTAGTGGTAAAAAAAAAAACGCCCATAAAAACCGCAAAACTGAAAACTTGTATGTATTTACCCATTGAACCTTCACACCAAATTTGGTAAAGATCCATTTAGAGGAGGTAATGGTAAAAAACACAGAATGCAAAATTGGAGTTTTGTATGTACCCTCGCATGGACCTAATGAACTTCCATACTAATTTTAGTGAAGATCCATCTACACTCTGCGAAGTAGTTACATAGACAGACAACAGACAGTACTATTTTATTTATATTTATTTTCTCAGTATCTGGTCATAAAGAACTCACTCTCATGAAGATTGATTTTCTTTTATTCTCCAGGGAAATTATTTTTCGCTTAAATTACTGACTTAATTCATTATGAATGTCAGCCTCATCACTACTATACCGGAGACTTCAACTTTTCTCTTTTGACTTCACAACTTTTTTATAATTCAGCTTTATGAATCTGAATCGTATAATGCTGCAGTAAAAACTCACTTTTTTTCTTTCTCATTTACTAGTTCTCCTATGGACCAGTTTTGTGGATTACAGACATATAAAGGCTATTTTGTCTGTCTTCGAATTTTATTTGACTTCACGAGGTCTCCTAGTTGAATCGCCTTAAAACTTCATTTGATAATTTTTACTACAGACTAGATTCTAGTTCCAGACATCTCACTGTTTTCCGAATACTTTGTTAGCATTTCTTACTATCAACTGGATCCTAGTATACTGTTTATAAAAATGCTAGTTTCTGATAATTCGCTACTTTAAAATCAAGCAAGCTAGTGTGTTGTTGTCTACACACAAATCGGTGTTATCTTTCATGAACTCAAGCGTTCACTATGTAATCAGTAACTGTAGAGAACCTGCAGCTGTTGATATGTGTGTGTGTCCCTTCGATGAGGTTCGTAAGGCTAGATAGAATATGTTCTTGTATAATAGTATTCTACGTTGATAATTTTTATTCTACTCTGTTCAGCATCACATCTATTTACCCAAACGCGTGAAAAAAGAGCAAATTTAAGTTAAATTTGACAGAAGCATTGCTTTAGAAAAAGTAATGATAATAATGATAACCACTGCGTTTAATGAATTAAATAATATTCTTGTACATAAAAATGTTGAGGAAAGTCTGGTTTCTGTGCTAGATATGTCACGTCATAATAATCTGTATGTTTAGCTTTCCTTGGTTCGTTTTAGTATAATAGTTTTACTCAGTTTTCCAGATATTAATTTAGAAAAAACTACCATTATACTCCAGATATGTATAAAATAATTTTTTTTATTTCATCAGGGTTAATATACACAACTGAAAGGTCGTTTTTTCTAAACTTTTTATCAAAATGTGTAAATCCCTCCAGTATGCACTACAAATTTTGAATATATGTATATATAAATAAACTATGTATGACAGCTGTAGTTTGAAGGCTTGTCAAGGGAATTGTGTATATTTTCTGTTGTTCAAGATAAGCAATGAGCAAAGTTGTCCATCTTGTTCTGTGATAACACGAACCAAGGTTTTCGGACTTTAAGAATATACTCCAGTATTATTGGAATCATAGTATATTAAATAACTTCGAAGGAAATAAATGTTGCATTGTTACGTTTGATTATTCTAACTCTATGTTTCTATACCTAAGGAAAGAAACTATTACACAGACCGTGAAAATACGTACGACACATTATGTTGCATTGATATCATTCGAAGGCAGTACAACTCATGTTCATTTTATATGCTATCTAAACGATATTGTTGATGCTGTTAATTGGTGTTTTCAGTCCATTTTAGTAACCTAAATTAATTTAGGTATATGAAAAAAGAAAATAAATCTTTAACATATATATATATATATATACAATTGTTAATTGTTTTGTTGTTACTGTGCAATGTAGCCGATTCTATTTAATGTTTATAGTTTACAAAACTGCAGTTTATGGTCCGTTATTTTTAGTTTCATACGAACCAGCTTACATGTTTCTAGCTACTAATACATTTTGTTTTCCGTTGTTGATGGCTCAGAATGTCCAGGTGGTTAGGGCGCTCGACTCGAAATCTGATGGTCGTGGGTTCGAAACTCCGTCCTACAAAACATGCTTGCCCTTTTAACCGTGTGGGCAATATAATGTGAAGATCAATCCCACTATTCGTTGGTAAAAGAGTAGCCCAAGCGTTGGCGGTGGGTGGTGATGACTAGCTGCCTTCCCTCTAGTCTTACACTGCTAAATTAGGGACGGCTAGCACAGATAGCCCTCGTGTAGCTTTACGCGAAATTCAAAAACAAACAAACCGTTGTTGATTGGGATTACGTCCGGTGACGTGGAGGGTACCTAACTGACGAACCAATCGATAAGTAAGAATATAAGAGCAGTATATTCCATTGTTTGTAGTTACTAAAAAATATAACTGACGTTCCATCGTTTGTAATTACTAAACAGTAACTGATGTTTATACACAAATAAAAGGAGTACAACGCTAAAATAATTACACAATAAATAATTTATTAAAAAACAGGAACAATTCCTAAAAACTTTACATGTTTCGGTGTTCTTACGCTACTATTTTCAGGAGTATTTTTAGGGCTAGTCCCTGTTTTTAATAAATTATTTTTGTGTTGTACTCCTTTTAATTGTATTTATATTGCATAAGTGTAGTTTTAAATTATTTAAAACTGACGTTTTATTATCTATAGTTACTAAACAATAAAACTGATGTTCCATTGACTGTAGTTACTAAACAACTGATGTTTCATTGTTTATAGTTACTGAACATTGAAACTTGTATTCGATTGTTTACTATTACTACTCCAGTCAACTGGTGTTAAGCTATTTATAGTTGTTAAACAGTACCTCTAGTGTTTCATTGTTTAATCAAATGTGAAAATACGATATTAAGTCTGGTGTTTACTTTGCACTTTTCTATCAGTTCATGGGTAAATATTTAGGAAACCTGGCAATCTTTATCTAACCGTGTTTTTACTTCGGCGAAATTATTTGTTATTAGCATATTATTTAGATTATTTTGAGAAATTAGATTCGATGTTATCTTTTTTTTTTTTTTATATCGAATGTTCTGAATTACAACCCTTCTCTTATTGCAGGACGCGAAACTGAGGGATACTGTTAATATGGGACCACAAGATGTCCCTTTGGAAGAAAAGGCTTTAACAGTTGTGTACGGACCTGACCTGGTCAATATCAATTTCTGCAACTTCTGTTGTAACAGCCGGGAAACTACGTTGGTAATATCTTTGTTTCAGTCTTTCAATAAATAAGGTTACAGGTTGTCGACTTTATCGAAATCCTAGTTTTTAATGCTACAACTCTTTTGTTATACACGCTACTCCATAATACGAATAAAGTTGGCCAACTTTCATGTACAGTACGGATCAAAGTACTAAATCATATTTGAGAATTATCAAGCAGATTGTGAGGCAGAAAAACAATGTATGATTCATATTATATTGGCCCTCATATTTGTAGAATGTGGCAGAAAACCCTTTGTGTTATAGATCATTTTGTAAACAAGCTTATTTTCATTGTTTAAACCCAGTTTCTGAAACTGGGGTCCGCCAGTTTTATAAAAATGTTATTTATATAATAAAAAGTGATTTTCATAAAATTAAATTTATATTAATCAAAACATTTAATTTTGGAATACAACTTTTTATGTACACGGAATTTTTTTTTTTTTTTCAAAACAGAAACATCGATAGGTTTGGGGGTCTGCGAAAATATTTTAGATTAAAAGGAGACCACGGGTTACTAAAATTTGAGAATCGTTGGTCCAGATTACACACAGACACGAGGTGGTCGTGAGGACATAATTCGTAAAGGATTTTTCCCCATTTCATAGAAATATTGTTGGTAAAATAACGATTCCCATTTAGAACTGTATTCTAAAATTTTAGCAAAAATGCTGTTTCTTAGTAGGAGGGAGTGCACTTTGGTTATGAATCTCCGAAGGAGGACGCAGCAAAGAAGTTTGGAGATATCTGGCCTCTAAACAGTTTGAATAGTCATTTTGTCGTAGGAAACAAAATACTGATACGTGAGGGAATTAATGAAAGCGATGATATAAATACACTCGGCTTTTTGTCTTGACAGTGACAGAACATTAAATATAAAGGATTTCAGAAGACGCTATATATAGCAATATATCACTCAGCTCTTACATTTACAGTTCAGCAAGAACATATAAATTTTCTGTCAGATAAAGATAAAAACACATGCTTTACAAAATCTTCGCCACGTTAAAATGGTTTATTGATGAACTTTACTATTGAACAAAGTACTGATACAAGTGATGTAAGTTCACCAATAAAACCATTTGAAATCGCGTAGATCGTGGATATGGTCTTCATAAAAGGCTGGATGTGTCCAAAAGGCAACTAGTTAGTGATATTTGTGAATGTCTGTAATTGAGTCTTAATAAGCTGAACATATTCGATCACACTCATTAGGTGGTATTGAATTTGAAATTATATTTTAAGCATAGATCTAGTAGTACAGTATACTTAGTATGGTCTGGTGATGGCCCGAACATATGTGGACACAACATGTTTTAAAATATCTTTGCTTTTGCAATAATAAATAATTGTGGTTTAAATGATGTATTACTTATATTCGTTGAATATCACAAGATATATATGAGTAAACCAATTACAATTTACGTTATTGTTATTATTAAGAAACAATGTATGTTACATGAATTGTTACTGTTAAGAAAGAATGTAAAATATGTCTCTTATAATGAGGAAACAAGACAGTTTATCTGGCTAGTTAATTCAGAAAGCATTGCTGACTTGTTTATTATTATAGTAATTATTAGTATCTTCGTTATTATCACCAACTAAATGTTTTATTCTAGTCCGCTGAATAATAATAAGTAATTTGTGACGGTAACGTCGTACGTTATTCAAACACCTAAAGTCATTTTGGTTATTAGTGGTCAGTAAAAGTCTACAAACTGAATGTTATGTTTTTTAAACATAAAATCATTATGTTATTCCATCTACTACAGAAGGTAACATAACTGGTAAAATGATAATTATTTGTTATTGTTCTGGCGTAAAATTGCTTTATTTATATTTATATTAGTTAGGAAAAATTGAAATATTAACATTATTGTATCATAATCTTTATAAATATAACAGTACTGTCTGTTGTATGTCCATATAACTACTTCGTAGGTTGTGGATGAATCTTCACCAAAATTGGTATGGAGGCTCACTGGGTCCACGGGGGAGATACATACAAATTTTCAGTTTAGCATTTTGCGTTTTGCGGTTTTAATGGAAAGAATTGGAAAGCACCAGGAAAGGATAAGATTGTTGTTAAATATCTAAAAGCCCTTTATGAAGATGGTATTAAGATTGTTAAAAACTGTGCAATCGAATTTACAACAGTGGACACCTTCCGTATGATCTGAGGCACTCTCTCTTTATTAAAATCCCGAAGAAACCAAAAGCAGTGGAGTAGTCTGAGCACAGGACTATCAGCCTTAAGAGCCACTTTATTAAAATCGTACTTAAGATCATCATGGTCATCATGATGGGAAATGATGAAGGGATAGAAGATAATATCGATAAAACAAAGTTAGGATTTAGACGAGGCAAAGGCACAGTGGAAGGAATATTTAATATCATGACAATCCTTGACAGGTATTTATGTATTAATAAGAAAGTTTGCATCTGTTTCATTGACTATGAAAAGGCATTTGACAGAAGCTAATGGAATTTATTGATAAGATCAATATAGATGATAGGAACAAGAAGCTCATTCGAAATCAATACTGGCGGCAGACAGCATCAATCAAGTTGGATGATAATGAATCAGAAGAATTTCCTATAAAAAAGAGGAGTAAGACAGGGGTGTATAATTTCGCCAATACTTTTTAACCGGTATACAGAAGACATTTTCAAAGACATTGATAAGTTACCTGGAGTAAACATTGGTGGAGTGAATGTTACAATTTCAGATATGCAAACGACACTGCTTTGATAGGAGAAACAGCAGAAGGACTATAGCAGATTGTAGATGAGGTTAAGATAAGAAGCGCAGAATTTAGACTCATAATGAACACCAAAAAGACAAAGACGATGATAGTAAGCAAGGAACATCAAGACATAAAAAGGATGAACATCATAGTCCACGGGGGTCTATCTGAAACAAGTGATGAAATTCACATATCTAGGTAAAATCATTACGGCGAATGGTAAATGTGACAAATAGAAATTACAAAATGAGAAATGTCTTGGCAGCAAAAAGCATTAGCGTCGAAACAACGAAACTGTAGATAGTATGGTCATGTGGTCATAGAGCAGGCAGTACAGAGAACATTATTGGAGGGCAAGACCAATGGAAAGAGACAAAGGGAGAGAGACCAAGAAGGGACTGGATGAAAGACATGTGAATGGGTACAACTGAACTATACAGGATGCATCAGAGCGGCACAAGAAAGGAAGACATGGCACACCATGACGTCGAACCTTCTGTAAGAGGATAACAACTCTAGAGCAGACCAGGTTTTTATGGTCGTTTTGGTGTTTTTTAACACTATTTCGCCCCTGTTGACGAATCTTCATCAAATTTGATAGAAGGTTTGTTGGGTCCATGCAGAGATACATACAAACTTGCGGTTTCAAGTTTTATGTTTTGCAGTTTTTATGGGCGTTTTTTACAATCATATATAAGGGAAGAAACTTTTCATGTCCCAAGATAATCTGTCACTAGAGTAGTATGTGGACAAAATAGGACCAAAAGAATACGCTTATACTATCCAGGAACAGGATATAATTGATAGAACCAGAGAGATAGTTAAGGGTGCTAGTAGCAATGGGTACATGATATAACTGGTAGAACCAGAGAGATAGTTAAGGGTGCCAGTAGCAATGCAGTTTTTATGGTACATGTTGGGGCTAATGATGTAAGGAAAGATGGATCTGAGGAGCTCATTGATAAGCATAAAACATTATTAAGGGCATTTAAGGAAAAGAATCATAGCTTGATTTTGTTGGAGATATTGCCAAGAATAAATTGTTGGGATGAGATACTAAGTAGATCACTAGGATTGAATACCAGGCTTAGATCAATATGTAGGATTAGAAAATAGGCTGGTTGGATTTTTGGGATGATTTCAATGGGAAAATTAATCTTTTTGGAATGGATGGCTTACACTTAAACAAAGTATGGGCTAGCATGTTAGCAAGGCTATTAACTCAGCTGTAGTGGTAGAATTAAACAAAGGCTAGAGAGAGGTGGAGGCTATGATATTAGTAAAATAGGAAATATAATTGATAGGAAAACGTGTACAACAGGCATAAAACATAAAAGTATTTTAAAATCTATGATTAATTGTTACCACTGTAAAGCTAGGAGCATTAGAAATAAAATTGGTGAGTTCAAAGCAGTTGTGGAAACTGAGGATTTTGATATTATGGGTACCACTGAGACTTGGTTGGATTTGAACAATTTTGATGAGAGAAAGTTTTTAAATACAAGGCTACAGATTATTTACTAGAGATAGTGTATTGAAAAAAAAGGGGAAGAGTAGCTTTATATGTGAGGAGTAAATTGCATCCTGTTGAATTAAATCATATTAAAGAAAATAGCACTAAGGTTGAGTCAGTTTGGGTTAGTGTTAGTGGATATAAAGGGGAAAGTCTTGTAATTGGGATTTGTTATAGACCACCAGGTCAGAATGTAGAATGTTAATGAGATCAGAATGTTAGCTTTAAAATATGCTGTTATTATGGGAGATTTTAATTTCAGGGGTATTGATTGGGAAATTTTTGAGTCTGACAGTGAGGAGGATAGGTTTTAAAAATTGTTCAGGGTACTTTTATACACGAACTGGTGATGAAACCAACAAGAGAGGAAGCTATATTAGATTTAATATTAGCATCTGATGTGAATATTGTGGTTGGTGAGCACTTAAATACAAGTAACCATTACACTATTAGGTGTGGGATTTTACTACACGTAGAATTGAAGAAGAATAGTGCTCTGATTCCAAATTTCAGGAAAGCCAATTTTGATGGAATGAGCCATGATCTGGCTTCTGTAGATTGGACTAAAGAGTTGGGAGGGGATCTTGAGCAGATGTTGGAAGCATTTAAGGAAACATTGATATGCTTACAGAGCATATTCCCTACAGAAAAAAGGGCAATGGAGCAGAATAAGCCAGTATGGTTTTATTATAGGCTCAAGAGAACATATTAGTGATGAAAATAATAAATTCAAGAAATTTAAACTTAATGGAAGTAATATGGACTTGGAAAAATATAGGAAATCAGGAGAACTGGTTAAAAAGGAAGTTAAAGGGCAGTAAAAACTGTATATGAAAGAGGGTTGGCTGAGAGCAACCAGAGCACTTAATGTATGGGAAAATATTGATGTAAAATACATATATCATTTTAAGTTCTGAAATTGTAAAAGAAATTGTTTGGGAAATCTAGAAATTGATGAATCCCCTGGACCAGACAATTTTTATCCTATATTTTTAAAGGAACTTAAATATTATATTTGTGAACTGCTAGCTAATATTTTTTATAGTTCCTTGAGTAGTGGAAGAGCATTAGAAGCTTGGAAGTTGACTAACATTAGTCCAATATTTAAATGAGGTGAAAACATTGTCGAGGAAGTTATAGGCCAGTTAGTTTGCATCAGTAGTTGGAAAGGCTTTGGAGAGTGTGATTAAAGATGCATTGCTGAGTCACTCAAAGCAGTTTGATATAGTGTCAAACAGCCAGCATGGTTTCACTGATGGAAAGTCTTGTTTAACAAATCTTCTGACATTCTTTGGGGATGTTACTGAAAGAGTTGATGAAGAAAATACTGTGAATATGGTTTATCTTGATTTTCAGAAAGCGTTTGATAAGGTGCATCACAAAAGACTTGTTACAAAAATTAATTCTGTAGGTGTGGGGGAAATGTTATTATATTGGATAGAAAATTGGCTGGAGCGTAGAAAGCAGAGAGTAGTAATAAATGGAGTTAGATCTTACTGGATCACAGTTACAAGTGGTGTGTCTCAGGGCTCTGTGCTGGGTCCTCTGCTCTTTGTAATTTATATTAATGACTAACAAAATTTTGAAGTTTGCAGATGTCATTAAAGTTTTTGGGGTGGCTAACTGTATCAAAGATGCTGCAGACTTACAGGGAGATTTAGATCATTTGATGCATTGGGCTAATACGTGGCAGATGATGTTTAACTATATATCCAAAATGTAAGGTGATGCATGTAGGTTTTCAGAATTCAGATTATTGTTACAATTTAAATGGGAATACATTAGATACTGTGGTTGAAGAAAAATATCTTGGTTAATCACTTAAGTCATCTAAATAGTGCATTTTAGCTAGAAATAGAGCTAATGGGATTTTGGTTAGCATCTTTCGAAATATTGAATAAAAGACAAAGGCTATTATTGTTTCACTATATAGATCACTTGTAACGCTTCATTTAGAGTACTGTGTACAGTTTTGGGCTCCCTTTCTCAAGAAGGACATTGAATTGTTGGAGAAGGTTCAGAGAAGACCCACTAGGATGATACCTGGGATGCTGGAATTGTTCTATGAGGAGAGACTCAAATCTCTTATTTTTTTTCTCTGAAGACGAGAAGGGTCAGAAAGGATTTGGTTGAAATGTTTAAAATTATTAAGGGTATTGTTAATATAGATCCATCAAACTTTTTTGTGTTTAGCAATGAAAACAATAGGACAAGGGGCATACATTCAAATTTTGGCAGCGTATGAGTCGTCTGCAGTTTAGACAGTGTTACTTTTCAAACAGGATGGTTGGCTTTTGGAATAAGCTGCCTTCAAGTGTGGAGCCAAGAAATTTAACTAAGTTCAATAAAAGATTGGATGAATAAGTGAATAATAAGGGGTGGTTATAGTTGGGAGCTGGAAGGGACATCCTTGATGGGCTAATAAGCTCCTTTTGTCCCTTCAAATTTTATGACATCTATGAAATTACATAACTTCCGTCCAGGGGACGGGTACTCTAGTTAGTAATAAATATTTTACGTGATAAACTGATAAGCAAAAAGAGATGGGGGATTAACACTTGAACTCAGAGTCCCTCGTTCATAAGGCTCGTGCTCTATCCAAGAATACAAGTCGTTTCTCTAAGTTTCACTTACAATAAATCTCATTATGAGTATGAATACCGTTCTAAGTTATTATAGTTACAAATACCAAATCATAGAAGCCTATCAAAGACTTCGAACTACAAGCCACGGTCTCGAAGGTACTTTTCGCTTAGCGGTTTTTTTCACCTAAAATAGCCCCCCAGTGGCACAGCAGTGTGTCTGCGGACTTACAACGCTAAAAACCGGGTTTAGATACCCGTGGTGGGCAGAGCACAGATAGCCTTGTGTTGTTTTGTGCATAATGAAAAACAAACAAACAAACAGATTTCTCTGGTTTGGTCTTCGTAATGTACCGTGGAGGTCATTCTGATAGTGAGAGACTTTATAAGTGACAATTGACGAGAGCTAGCCTTCTTAGCCAGTGGTCTCGGGTTTAAACCCCGGTTGCGGAGTCAATTTTCGCTTACTTGTATTTGTACTTAAAAATTAATCAGGACATCTTTGTTATAAACAAAACCAGGCTTTGTCTTCTATTGATTAAACCTAAATGGGTTCGTTACTGTTTCACTCTAACCAGATGCGGGCAAACCAGGTACGGTCGTCTTCAGCATATCAAATATATCAACGCACGTGGAAATGTTTTGTTTGTTGTTGTTTTTTCTGATCAGGGTTGCATAAATTTCTCCCTTAACAACGTGGGTCACATTAAACTGATGAACGCAAGTTATCAGGAGTGGATGCTGGTCTCTGCTAGATTACATGTACACGTCCCTGGAAGAATAGATGTGGGCAGGTTAATTAACTCTGGACAAGTAAAGAAAAACCCTAAGCTTATTGAGAGTAAATTGTATAAAGTGTGTTTAAAAGAAAAACCTGAAGCACGTTACAGTCGCGGATCACGAGAAATTATCTGCGAGAATTTGTGCTTCGTCCAATGGACCCAGAAGGGTCCAAGGGAGGTAAAAAATACTATTTATCTGCGCACAAAATTCTTACTTTTTTCACATGAACTTTGAAACAATGGTGAAAAAGGTGGAATATACACAATCACAATTAGACAAGTAGTCTTGTTTGTCTTGTATTGCGAGTCGAGTGCCCTAACCATGTCACCGAACATGCTTACCATTTCACTCGTAGGGGGTGTATTGCGAGTCGAGTGTCCTAACCATGTTACCGAACACGCTTACCCTTTCAGCCGTGGGGGCTGTATTGTGAGTCGAGTGTCCTAACCATGTCACCGAACATGCTTACCCTTTCACTCGTGGAGGCTGTAATGTGACGGTAAATTCTACTATTCGTTGGTAAAGGGTAACACAAGAGTTTGCAGTGGTAGTGTTGACTAGCTGCCTTCCCTCTAGTATATTACTTGAAAATTAGGGATGACTACCACAGACTCTCCTTACATACCCACAAGTTTTAGTATATATTTTCAAGAATATCAGGAAAACCAAAACATAAACTCAGTACATCATTTCATGGTTATTAAAATTTATTGCATGTAAAACATATGCATATATGTTACATGTGCCTTTGTACGAAGTTTATCCTTTCTAGAATGAGGCATGAAAATTTCAAAGACAATGAAGTACTTCCCTGTGGATGTAGCCAGCAGTAAAAACATTAGAAAAGCAGTAACGATATTGAATGAATACTTCCCTACGTACATAATCAGCAGTAACAGCACTACCAGAAAATCTGTAGCGATCTTTGAAGGAATACTTTCTGTATATCATTACGGCTCTACCATTATTTTTCTCCAGTGATTAGTAATCCTTCTCAGTATCAGTATTATTATTTTCACTTTAATCACTCTACTCACGCCAGTCATCTTATCTAATATTTAATTTATTCATTTTCACATATTTTCATACTTGTGCTCCAGCATATTCTGCCAGCAAGTCAGAGCGCTAACATGAAAATTATGGATCATGACGTGTGGAAAACAAAACCGAAAGAAGGGTAATAATAAAAGTATGAATTTAAGTATCTAGGTATAAGAAACGAACCAAAATTACGCGAAAAACACGGAAATCGAGATTACACGTGAATTCTGGAAACTGGGAGATAGGCCTTATGGTCGGGTTAGCGATGTAAAATATGCAACCCGCTCCTGTATTGAGAGATGCTTTAGTGACAAATATTTGATAAGAAAATCATAAGCGTATTGAGAGTGATTCTATGAAAGTATTTAAGAATATAGCCATAACTGTATTGAAGACGATTTTAGTTAGATATTTAAAGGGAACACTGTAAACCTATTAACAGGGACTTTAGTAATAAGTCTTTAAAAGAAAAGCCTTAAGTTTATTGAGAGAAAGGCAGAGGTTAAGAAGTTACGTTTCTTCTTATTAAGTCAAAGATAAGAGTAGTATAATATTGTTGCATTATTATTATGGACTGTTCTCTCTTGTTTAGATTATAATGATGGATACCGTTTAAAAGATAATCTATTTCTTGGAATTCTTAACTTTTCAGTTGGTATTGAATGGCTACTATCATGCCACGGATGGTGAATGATAGATCGATTTGAAACATTGTCGCTTCTATAACAGTTTATATACATATTTTCACTGAAAACATAGGTATAATAGTCTCGAAATTGATACAGATGTTGATGACAGCAACGTAGCAATAGAGATGATAGGTTAGGAGGAAGGGCTTTGAGTCCCTTAGCTAACAAGGAAAACAAAGTTGAAATGACGTGCAAACGGTAGTGTGCCTCAAACTCTGAGTTAGGGCTGTGATTGAGAATAAAGCTGTGCATTATACTAGAAAGAAATAAAAAATGTTTTTCATACTGGTGTGCACTACTTTTTTCTTTCCATTCCTGGTACAGGTGTGGGCGAAGGAACTGTTGAAGATGGCGTACAACTTGATGTCGTGGAATGCATCTCCTCGAAAGTACCTAGAAAAAGCTCATACAAAGCTCATTCTCATGAAAGATCGTTCTGGAAAGATTCCAGTGAAACAGTAAGTTTATTGTTAAAATATTACTTAAAATCGCAAGTTATAGACCTCTCTAGTGTGGCCATTTCATCCACCACAAGAAGAACATTATTAAACAATTTTCCGGTACTTACGTAAAATTGACGATTGATGAATTTGTGGAAGTGTTGCCATTCTGACTCAAAGTTGAAAAAACAATTATGTTACTGCAAAGCATGATCTTTAACACAGAGTTAACTCTATCATCTGAAATTGCGTTAACGATTTAGATTATGGCTATAGGTATAAAATATGCAAGGCTGTAGTATTTCTAAAAGGGCAACGTGAATATAGGGAAGTTCTAACACAAACATACAAAAGATGCGATTCGCTGTAGCTGGTGAGTGGGGTTTCAAGCAGTTATTTTTTCGCCAATTTGAATCAAGTTAATAATCTACTGACGTAGTGGTTTCAGAATTTTGATGTAATTAAATAACTGAACCTACAGCAGGTGGGGACAAGACAAGACCACTTGCACGTGTTTTTCACTCAGTGATGTTATTAAACTGTTAATAACAGTGTTTTTCTAGATTCGTTGATTGGAATGACTAGCAATTCCACGAGCTTTAAAAGTATGGACTACTATTGGTGTTAGGAAACACGTGCTGGTAACGGATGTATTTCGATGTATCAATGTTTCAGAAATGTCGAAGCATGAATTTCATATTACTATGTGAATCTAGTGCAGGGATTAGAAGAAATTATAAACTACAGACATCAAATATTAAATATAGGCCGAATAAGTGCGGCAACGTCTATTCTAATCCTGTACTTGCCTGCAGTAAGAGTTTACTTCAATGATTAGGTTCTACAATTGTAGATTAGTTCTTAAAATATTGAGTTTTCAGTTTTAGGCAAGAAATGTTATATGAAAATTATCCTAAGTTAAAATGTATCATAGAAACATTAACATGTAACAGGTAACAAGCTTACAAAGGACTGGATGAAAAGTAAAAATACAGTGTAGTTGTCACGTTGTTCTTTGTGTTCCTTCTTTTACAAATAGTTTTAAAGACTTTTCAAAATACTTATCTGAAATATCAAAATAGAACTGATTTTCCCGATATCTAGGTGCAAAATAAATTGCAAAAACAGATGTGTTTTATAAGAGCAGAGCGCACACAGCACTTCTGCAAATAACTAATGTTTTAAGCTCAAACCTAAACCTTTGTGTCAGAATGACATATTCACTATCAAACTCCAGAGTCTAGTGAGAAAATTCAATCAATCTCTGCTTCTTTGAATTTCTCAAGAGGAGTGATCGTTGAGAGTGACTTGCTTACCATCCCCTAGTCGGAGATCCTCACTAGTTTCTCCAGCCATGGAGATTCACTGAAAATGGAATAATGCAGCCTACCCACGTTCTCGTTTTTACGTTTACATCTTCATGTCCACCTGTCTTTGTCAAAACAATTTATCTGAACTGTAAGGTTAGGCTCCATATTTCAAATATCTCTGATGTTTCTAGTGCCAGCAGTTTGGTCACTTTAAAACATCTTGTCGTGGTACTTTGTGTGCTTGTTGTGGTAGCAAGGCCACGATAACTATGACTGTCCAATTGATCTGCATTGTGTTAACTGTAATGGTTCTCACCCATCATACTTTCGTTCCTTCCCTAAATGGGTGTAGGAGAAAGAGGTAAACCAATTACAGAATATCAACAACATTTCTTATGCGTACGGAAATTGTTGACCCTCCTCCAACTCTGGCATATGCTGCTGCACTCCATTCCACAACCGTAGTGGGGGTGCAGACTGATCTTCCTATTCTTCACACATTCTTTCTCTATCATGTGAAGGATTTTCTTATCTCGATGTATACACGAGTTGACAAGTCAACGCCTACTTCAATCTCTGTCCCTACCGCATCATCCAGTGAATGTTCGGGCCATTCTCCATCGGTCCCGAGATACAGAACTGATATTTGGTTATACACTCACTCACTGGATTCTCATTTGTCTGACAGGAACCTTCCCCATCAACCCACGGCAGGATCCACGAAGGCCAAGATATCTCTTTCTAATAAATAAAAACACCGTGATTACAAACAAAAAAGAAGTCTTTCCACCTGGTTCTCCCACTTTTCTAAATAAAAATTAGCAGTTTGATACGGTAGAACTGTCGAAGTTTCCTTTCTAATTTAGATGACATTAAGGCCTTGATTGATTCCTATCATTCCGTGTGTGTCTCTCCGTATAAAACATTTCTAAAACCTGCTAACGCTGTCATCTTTTGGTGATTTGTCTTGTACAGGAAAGACGGGTTGTGTGATGGACGAGTTCATGAGTGTGTGGCACTGCTGGTTGACTAGCAAGCACCCACCATGTCTGTGCCACTCAATATGCTACTGGAGGATGTTGCCATCCGTGTCTCCTAAGGTCGTACCATCACTATTTGTTCTCTTTACCTGTTGTTGTGAGAGGATTATGATCAAGCAGGACTTGATGATCTTATTGAACAATTCTTAGCTCCCAGCTGATCTCCTTCAGAATGATAGGAAAATTATCACTCTCCTCTGGGTCATTATCCGCTATTCAGAAAAAAACAAGGAAGGGAGAAAGAGGAACAAATAGCTAGTTCAACAGCAGCAAAAGACTGACTATGTGCGTGAAAATATGCATAGGAACCAGAGAGAGAAAGGATATGATCCGAAAGCAAATGCTATGTAGAACGACCCCTCACATCATTATTGGCATCACCCCAGAGAGGATTGTGTCCATTAAAGTCTTTCATGGTGAAGATGCTTTCAGTGCCACCCAACTCGTGTGCCAGTGGTATCTACCTCATATATCTATACTACTATATTCAGCTTCCCTTGGCATGTATTTATTGACAGCTTTGTATCACTAAATAAGTTTCCAGACAAAGTGGGCAATTGCATATTAAAGTGGCAGTCGTTTTGTTTTTGTTGTTCTCATATGTTTGTTTGTTTTTAGAATTTCGCTTAACGCTACTCGAGACCTACCTGTGCTAGCCGTTCCTAATTTAGAAGTGATAGACTAGAAAAAAGGTAGTTAGTCAACACCATTGAACCACAACTCTTGGGATACTCTTTTACAAATGAAAAATGGGATTGAACGTCACATTAAACGGTTGAAAGTGCGAACGTGTCCAATGATAGGATGTTCTGTATGTTACAAAAACGTAAACAAACCAATAGAATCAGGTCAGAAACAGTACTTAACCTATATGTGTTTAAATAGGAGTGTAGGTGGATAAAAAGTGTTCTGCTCTTAATGCCGATAGGGAATGTAAATTTTTCTCGTAACTGAATTACTGGAAGTCTTAATTTCTTCCCTAATTAATAGATAGAAATATGCTTATTGTCATGGCCTGATGATTAGGACGCTCGACTCACAATCCACGAGTCGCGGGATCGAAGTTCAGTACCGAAAACGTTCGCCTTTTTAGCCTCTGAGGTGTTATAATGTGACAATTAAAAGTTGGCGGTGGGTGCTGCCAGCTGGATACGTTCAAAATTAAGGGTGGCGGCAGATAGCTTCAGCAGATTGTCATAAACAAAACTTGTTTTATCGTAATTAGTCTTTCCTTTTCAAGGACTCTTGTTTTTCCATAGTAATTACACAGAATTCTAAATTTTTAATTCAAGCCCTCCAGTGGCTCAGTGATAAGTCTCAGGGGTTATAACTCAAAAAATTGGATTTTGATACCCGTGTTGGACAGAAAACAAATAGCCCATTGTTTAGCTTTGTGCTTAACAACAAATAAACAAACAATAAATAATTATTTCCTTTAACTTGGTAATATTTTTAAAAGTTTAATTTAGGATAGTAGTAACTGTAAAATTAAGCTTTTATGCTTTCTTCAATATCTACCCTCGTGATATTCTAGATGCTTAAAAAAAGGAAACCCTTAAAATAGAATATTATTTATTTCTTTTTGCTATCCATATGTTTTGTTTTTCTTCTGGTCTTGTAACCTATTTTTGTTTTTTTTATATTTGTATTCTGGAAACAATAATATTTCAATTCATGCTTTCTCATTAACTAATAGGCAAACTTTGATAGTATGAATGACGACGTTTCAAATTCTGAATATAATGTATGGTAATAAAAATGAATCCATAGACTAATTCATTCTCATAAATGTTTTCACATTTAGGATAATGTGAACTTCTAATCTTTCTCTGTTGATAAGTCTGTTCTCCTGGTAGACCCATCAAATATGTGATTGGACAGGTTGATATATCATGAAAATTTCCGTCCTGACAATATCAGTAACCTTGGAGACTGAGAGTCGTTTCGTTCAGACTTAAAATTAGTTAATTAAGCTACTTACCTAACCTATAGAGACATGAGTTCAAAGTTCAAATGTCGTTTTGTTACAATTTCCGGTTATTCCAAATATGTGCCCCCCCCCCTCCTTCAGTGGCTCAACGGCATGTTTAAAGGTATATAACGCTTAAAACCGGGTTTTGATATCCCACAGTGTATAATATTGGTTGTGCCTAGTTTGTGGTTGCCTGTTAGGGATAGAATTTTAGTAATTCATCTATGAAGTAAAAATAAAACATAAAATTGTCAGATTTGGCGATTGTAAATATTTTCACAGAAACGTATCTGTGTCTTCTATAAATAAAACAGAAATCTACAATACTAATTTACTTTGTGTTGTAGTAATAAAACTGAAATCTACA